ATATGCATCTGTGTGTGTGTGTGTGTGTGTTGATTTTGTATCCTAAGACTTTACTGAAGTCATTTTTTAGCGTGAGGAGGTTTTTGACAGACTCTCTAGGATTTTCTAGATATAGTATCATATCATCTGCAAAAGAGGGTAGATTTAATTTCTTTTTCTATTTGCATACCCCTAATTTCTTTCTCCTTCCTGATTGCTCTGGCTAGGACTTCCAGTACTATGTTAAATAGGAAGGGTGAGAGTGGGCATCTTTGTCTTGTCATAGTTCTTAGAGGCAATGCTTTCAGCCACTGTCTGTTAGGCAAGATGTTGGCTGCAGGTTTTTCATAGATGGCTCTTATTAATATTATTTATTTTTTTGAGTTGGAGTCTCACTCTGTTGCTCAGACTGGAGTGGAGTGGCTGCTCCCAGTCACTGCAGCCTTGACCTGCTGGGCTCCAGTGATCCTTCCACCTCAGCATTCCAAGTAGCTGGAACTACAGGCACGCGCTACCACACCCGGCTAATATTTTTGATTTATTATAGAGATGAGGTCTTGTCAAGTTGCCCGGGCAGATCTTGAACCCGCAGACTCAGGCAATTCACTCACCTCGGCCTCCCAAAGCACGGGATTACAGGCTGAGCCACTGAGCCCGGCCGGCTCTTGTTATTTTGATGAATGTTCCTTGATGCCTAGGTGTTCAAGGGCTTTTATTAAGAAGAAATGTTGTATTTTATTGAATGCATTTTCAGTGTCTAATGAGATAACCATGGGGGTTCTTGGTTTTACACCCGTTTGTGTGATGGGTTACGTTTATTGATTCACATATGTTGTTCCAGCCTTGCTTCCCAGGAATGAAGCCCACCTGATCATGATGGATGATCTTTGGAATGTGCTGTTGAATGCAATTTGCTAGAATCTTGTTTAAAATTTTTGCATCTATATTCATCAGATAAAGTGGCCTGTAGTTTTCTTTCCTTGTTGGATCTTTGGCATTTTGGGGTATCAGGATGACATTGGCCTCACAGAATAGCTAGGGAGAATTCCTTCCTTCTCAATTGCCTGGAATACTTTCAATAGGATTGGTACTGATCCTATTCTTCCTTGCACATCTTGTAGAATCCAGCTGATAAGCCATCTGGCCCAGGGTTCTTTTTTTTTTTATTGAGTTGATTTCTTGGCTTGGTATTGGTCTGTTTAGAATTTCAATTTCTTCCTGTTTTGGAAAGTTATATGATGCCAGGATTTTCTCCATTTCCTTGAGATATTTTGGCTTACTCACATACAGGTGTTTGTAGTAATCTCTGACAATCTTTTGAATTTCTTCAGGGTCAGTTGTAACATCACCCTTTACATTTCTAATTGTGTTTATTTGAATTTTTTTTCTCTCTCTCTTTCTCTTTTTGTTAATCTGACCAGGAGTCTGTCAATCTTATTTATCTTTTCAAAGGACCAGCTTTTCACTTCATTAATCCTTTGTATGATTTTTTTTTGGTCTCTATCTCATTCACTTGTGACTTTATTTGAATAATTTCCATTTTTCTACTAATTATAGGATTGGATCTCTCTTTTCTTCCCAGCTCACTTAGGTGTGACATTAGACTGTTTACTTGAGATCCCTCTATTCTCTTGATATGTGCATGCAATGCCAAAAATTTCCTTCCCAGTAGTGATTTCATGGTATCCTAGATATTTTAGCGTGGTGTGCATTTGCCTTCATTTGTTTATAAGAATATTTTTATTTCTGCTTTGATTTCTGTGTGAACCCAAAAGTCATTCCAAAACATGTTGCTTAAGTTCCACATATCTGGGGGATTCCTGGTGGTGATGATATATATTTTTTTGTTTTTGTTTTTGAGTTGGGGTCTCACTCTGTCGCCCAGACTGGAGTGCAGTGGCTGCTCCCGGCCACCTCAGCCTCGACCTGCTGGGCTCCGGCGATCCTTCCGCCTCAGCCTTCCGAGTAGCCGGAATTACAGGTGCATGCTACCATGCTTGGCTAATTTTTTGATTTATTGTAGAGATGAGGTCTCGCCTGCCCAGGCAGGTCTCGAACCCGCGGGCTCAGGCAATCTACTCACCTCAGCCTCCCAAAGGCGCGGGATGACAGGCTGAGGCACCGAGCCCGGCTGATATTTATTTTTATTTCACTGTGATCTGAGATAATATTTTGATCTTCTGAAATTTGTTCACACTGGATTTATGTCTGAGTATCTGGTTGATCTTGGAGTATATTCCATGTGCTGATAAGAAGAATGTATAGATGTGGTTGCTGGGTGAAGTGTTCTGTAGATGTCTGTTAGATCCAGTTGGTCGAGTGCCGAGATAATGTTTCTGATTTCCTTGTTAGTTGTTTTTTCTGTTGTTGTTCTCAAAGAGCTGTTTTAGGCCGTTAGTAGAGTATTAAAGCCCCAGGGCATGCTCTGGGGCTGAAATCTCCCCTCTACCACCTGCTTCCCTAGAAAGATTTTCCTGGATGTAACTCTGAACGAAAAAATTCATGTTTAAGTGGGTTTGCACAGTTCAGTCCCATGTTGTTCAGGGTCAACCGTGTGTGTGTGTGTGTGTGTGTGTGTGTGTGTGTGTGTGTGTGTGTGTGTAGACTTGCCCTTCTTATTGAGCTCCTTAGAAGATTTCTCCCAGTGTCAGAAGTTTTCCTGTGACTTGTTCCCAAAAAATTGATTCGTATTGAATGAGACTTGATTTTCCATGCTCCAGGGTAGAGCCCATTTCATTAATTCATTTCAGATTAGAAGTTACTTTTGAGTTTCATCAATATCCCCAGGGTTCAAGTCTATCACCAAATCCCCTCACTAGTAAACAAGGGAAGCTGTAGGCCTGTAGAAACTGCTGGTGAAATGCCATTGAGGAAAGACATTGCTTCTCTCTGAGTTCTTTATTCCTATTGTATAGACTCCCAAGAGCAAGGTTGCTGAGGCCACCAAAGTGGCTATTGACGTAGGTTTCCGTCACATCGATGCAGCGTACTTCTATCAAAACGAGGAGGAGGTCGGACAGGCCATTCGCGAGAAGATCGCCGACGGCACCGTGAAGAGAGAGGACATCTTCTACACCACCAAGGTGAAGGGCCCGTGTGTGGAGTCGCCAGACGCCACTGCTGTTCAGATATTTCACTGTGAAAGAAAATAACTGATATGTTTGAATAATTTATGTATTTCATAATATTGTGGAGACACATTATAGAAACATGGAAACAGAAAAGTCTTCCTTTGCTCTGAAGTGTGGGACACAGTTCTTCAAGGTCTGTGAGCATCGGACCTTATAAATGAAATGAGTATATGAACATCTATTTTCTTCAACTCTTGTGTGGGTTAACCAAACCACTATGGGTCTTCTCCTTTAATTCTTCAGTAGATTCTCTCGGGATATATCAAGTGAGGCTGAGATATTCAGATAAGATCATACTTTTTTTTTTCAAATCAGTATTGAGTTTTAAAAATGTTCCTCCATGGAAAATCCTGCTTCTAAATTATACAGAGCAGAGGCTCCTGTAGATGCAACCTATGTATGTTTTCTCGATAACAACCACCTTTTTTGAGAATGTGGTTCTCCCAGTAGAATCGTTTTTAGGAAGTTATTACACAGGATAAGAGATTCTATCCCCCCATTCTGCCACTTTTGATTCCTTTCAGAAGATGACTCCTTTAACCCTGAACACATTGAGCGTGTTTTTCCTGCTATGTCTGAGTTTTAGTCACAATTTTCTTACATTGCCATCACTCAACTAAATCTCAGTATCCCTTCAAGGACCCAATTTATGCTGAGTAACAAATATTTAACCCCAACTCTTTTGATCTTAGACCACCACAGTGCTTTGTTACTCACATCTCTATCAAGCTTTAATGTTTAACTTTGGTTCCCAAACATGACAAATCATAAGACACTTTTGATTTCTTTCTTTCTTTCTTTTTTTTTTTTTTGAGTTGGAGTCGCATTTTGTCGCCCAGACTGGAGTGCAGTGGCCGCTTCCGGCCACTGCAACCTCGACCTGCCGGGCTCCGGCGATCCTTCCGCCTCAGCCTTCCGAGTAGCCGGAATTACAGGCATGCGCTACCACGCCCGGCTGATTTTTTGATTTATTGTAGAGATGAGGTCTCGCCGCCCAGGCGGGTCTCGAACCCACGGGTTCAGGCAATTTCTTTTGCTCACTGCAGCTCTGGATTACCTTCCTCCGACCAGAATTGGTTCGACCAGCCCTGGAAAGGTCACTGAAGAAACTTGGATTGGACTATGTTGATCTCTTTCTTATCCACAATCCACTGGCTTTGAAGGTGAGACTTTCATTCCTTGTTGTGCCCAAGACAATTTGCTGTTATTAGTATCACACACAGGCACATTCAGATGAATAATCACAGCGTCCTGACTGTTTCAACAAGATTTTCTGGGCTCTTGCTGAGAGAGGTAGTCTCGAGTGAGGCACATAGAAATTTCTGTCATTTCTTGAGCCTCCATGAGATTCTCTTTTATTCCTCATCCCCCAGCTTTAAAAAAGATTCAGGTTTAGTGATCTCACTACCTTTCCTCAGAGAGCCGAGGGCACTGTTTTACATGTCTTAGTGATGGTGCTGTTGTCTCTGGGCCTTTGGTGGTTAGGGTCCTCAAGAAGGTTGGCTCACTACCATCTGCAGAGATACAATGGGAAATCCCCACCTCTTTAGAAGGAGGGTCTCCCCCGTGTGCACCTCTCAGGCCAAAGAAGAGAGAGGTACCTGGGGCATTTCCTATTGCACAGCAGGACTGTCATGGGCTTTGCTGATCCAACCTCTCATCACAGTGAACATCCTCTGAGCATGTCTGACATCCTCTCTATCTGAGTTGGGTTATCATCAACTAGAGCTGAACACATTGGCTAATAGTTGCAAGCGCTATTCTCTAAACCAGCCTGTCCTAAAATGAAATAAATTCTAACCATAAGAGACTCATTCTTAGGAAAGTTTAGGGGAGTGGAAGAAGGAGAGTGGAGTTTATTTGGGAACGGATATTTTGATGCAATCTCTCAGATGACTCTGGTCTTCCCTTTACTCCATGTCTTTTCTTGTTCTCTCTCTTTCTCTCTCTCTCACACACACATAAGTATACACACAGGCACACTCATTAATAGTCAGCCTCCTGAAGGCAGGATGGCCCAGATCCTTGGGCACCAGAAGGTGATTTTTTTTCTTTTTTAGAAAACCTTGTTCCTTTTATCCTCTATTCTCTCTGTATTCCAGCCTGGAGACGAGCTGCTACCAAAGGATGCCAACGGAAAATACATCTTTGATAACGTGGACCTTCGTGACACCTGGGCGGTATGTTCGGTTCAGACACTGGGAGGGGGGCGCTGTATGGCCGGTGGGAGTCACGGGTTGGAGAATCACCAGGGGATGGGAATTCGCTCCAGCCCTTGTCTGACCTCAGTCATGTCCTGGAACTTCTCTGTTGAACGCCGAGCTGAACCGCATGACCTCGAGGTCTGTTTGTATTTTGGTTTCTATGGCTCTAAGCAGGCACTCCTTTGTCCATCAGATCAGGCTGAGGATGTGAGGCCTATGAGAGGGAGAAACAAGTGCAAAGGAAGTAACACTTTATCTCCAGATAGACAAACTCACGACTGGGCGAGAGAAACGCTGGGGCTGACTCAGTAGAAGGCTGAACTGCACGGGAGAGCGAATCTGCCCTTGGAAAGCTCCTCCCATGTACATTTTTTGCCATTCTGGGAAAGAGGTGGCATGCATTCTGACAGTGACTCTACTCCGGGGGTTGTGTCACTTGTTAATTGGCTCAGCCTGTAATCCCATGCTTTGGGAGGCTAAGGTGAGTGGATTGCCTGAGCCCACGGGTTCGAGACTGGCCCGGGCAACTTGGCAAGACCTCATCTCTACAATTATCCAAAAAATTAGCCGGGAGTGGTAGCGCACGCCTGTAGTTCCAGATACTGGAAGGCTGAGGTGGAAGGATCACGGGACCCCAACAAGTCATGGCTGCGGTGGCTGGAAGCGGCCACTGCACTCCAGTATGGGTGATAGAGTGAGACTCCAACTCAAAAAAAAAAAAAAAAAAAAAAAAATCTGTGGATGCCTAACAGCAAAATAGGCACCACTGAAAGGGTGAGGGAGGTTAAGGGAAATTTCAGAGCACCTTGACGACGTCCATTTGTTGTCCTGAGTGTGCATGTGACAGAGTCAAGGGGATTAACATATGGATGCCTAGGAAGGAAGTGCATCAGGGAATGTTTTCAAGGGATAAAACTGTTTGATGCAGACTAACTGTTATGTGTGCTAAAACAGATTTCCAATTCATACAAGTCCAAGGATACATGAAAGGACAAACCATACTAAATGTCCTCCATACTTCTCCTTCCTCCCCAGGCCCTGGAGAAGTGCAAAGATGCAGGTCTAACCAGGTCCATCGGGGTGTCCAACTTCAACCACAAGCAGCTGGAACTGATCCTGAACAAGCCGGGGCTCAAGTACAAGCCCGTCTGCAACCAGGCGAGCCCTGAGTCCACAGGGGCCTTCTCTCACTTTCTGCTCCTCACACCCTCCTTCTTAACTGTGTCTCCCAGTTTCTGCTTAGATCAGAGTTCCTTTCACCAAGACAGGAATTACCAGGGAAGGAGCCGGCTGAGCAGAGTGGGAAGAGCAGGATCTCCTTCTTCAGAGGGCAGAGGGGGTGTGAGGTTCCTTGGGACAGCCAAGGGGAGAGGCTGAGTTGGGGGTGGCAGCCTTGGTGTGGAGCTCAGGAGGTGGTCCAGGCCAGAGAGGCAGGTTTTGGCAGTCATTCCTCTCTGGATGGCAACTAACCTCACAGGAATGGATGGCTTTCCCAGGGGAGTGCATAGAATGAAAGGAAGAGGCAGGAAGTCCACACGGAAGGGTCCGGCACAGAGGCCCTGGCACGGAGACGGAGCAGGAGTTTCCAGACAGGCGGGGAGACCGTGAGGAGGGTGTGGTGTCAGGAGGCAGAAGAAAGGGAGTTGGAAAGCCCTGAGTGGGACGGAGGGCGGGTCCTGCGGAGGGGCGGCTGTCCAGGAGGGAGGGAAAGGGTGTTGGGTTAGTGGAGGGAAGTCATGGGAATCCAAGCAGGGCAGTTTCAGAGTGGGGAGAATTGAAGCCAGACCGGAGGAAGGGCGAGGGGAGACATCACCATTAAATCAAGAGAGTTTTAAGGAAGCACTTAATTGCCAAATATCAAACAGTATTTATGACAGTGCTAAGTTACAACCTTTTGAAGTACATTTTGATAATTTTACAAAAAGCTATTCATGTATTAGTGTCCTTTTTCTTAGTTATTTCTAGGGATCTAGTTGTAGAAAATCAGAATGTGTTAAAAAATGAGATATCCATACATATGAATATTTTAATTACTTTTGTTCCTAACATTTAGTAATTAGAATTTTAAATATCTGATGATAGGGATAGGATTAAATTTATGAGACTTGTTGGAGATGTATACTAGGGTATTATGAAAACTCAGCAAAAAGGAAAAGCTTATGCTATATTACATAAAAAAATCAGCCAATGAATGCTGCTCTGTCAGTTAGAATGCTTTCAAGCTAAGAAACAGTAAACTCAAAACTGGTTTAGGTCTTAAAGAAGTTGACTTACTGACAAGGTTTCGCATTTGGTTGCTCCAGGAGTTTTAAGAACTATTTTGAAATGAATGTATTTTGTCTGTGCTCTGTCTTTCATAGTTGCAGGATGGCTTCCCACACGCCATTGGTCTATAAGTTTCCTTGTTCATGTTTGGCAGGAAAGAGAGGGTTTTCTTTTTCTTTCTTTCTTTTTTTTTTTGAGTTGGAGTCTCATCTGTTGCCCAAACTGGAGAGCAGTGGCATGCTCCCGGCCACCGCAACCTCGACCTGCTGGGCTCCAGCGATCCTTCTGCTTTAGCCGTCCAAGAAGCCAGAACTACAGGCGCGCTCTATCATGCTCGGCTACTTTTTGATTTGTTGTAGAGATGAGGTCTCGCCAAGTTGCTGGGGCTGGTCTCAAACCTGCGGGCTCAGGCAATCCACTCACCTCAGCCTCCCAAAGTGCTGAGATTACAGGCTGGGTCACCGAGCCTGACCAAGAGAGGGTTTTCTGGGGCTGAATCTAAAAGTGGTGGAAAAATTTTTACAAATGTTTTCTAGCAATTTTTTTTTCATCTATCATTGGCTTGAATAGCATAATGTGCCGTGTGTTAACAAGTCTGTTAACCAATCAGGACAAGGAATGGAAAATCATGACGTTGTGAATCAGTTTTCTCTGGGACACAGAGGCTGAATATAGAGGAAGCGAGAAATAATTAGACCAAAATCCGGGTTCTTACAAGGAATAATGTTAATCAATACTATTCACTATGCATGCTATATTTACATTTATATAAAATCTTTTAAAATGACTAAAATTAAGCACAGCAAAATGGTTACAGTTGCTGTCTGGTTCTGGTGGGATTTTATATGACTTAATGGTGCTTTTCCTATATTTAGCATGAAAATCTGTCTTTTATAACTTTGAAAACTGTTTACTATTGTAAAATTTCAATATGTAAAAAGGTACAGAGGGTATGAGGAGACTTCAAAGAGCTCATTACAAATACAATTAAAAGATAAAAACAAAAATATAAAGTTTGTTTCTCAACATAATCTCCAACAAATTTAATACACTTTTGTGAGTGATGATACTAGCTATTTAATCTGTCTCTAGAGAACTTTTAGCATTATTAACTGTAGAAAAACGAGTGCCTTTTAAATATTTTTTTAAAATTAGGAAACATAAAAAACCAGAAGGAATCAAATCAGGACTGTAAGGTGGATGCCTACTGATTTCTCATCAAAACCCTTGCAAAATTGCCCTTGCTTGATGACAGTAATGAGCAGGAGTGTTTGTTTGTGTGGTTTTTATTTTTAAACCAAAGTGTTGGTTGACTTTCTTGATATACTCTTATAAGAAGCAGATGTTATTATTCTTTGGCCCTTCAAAAACTCAACCGGCAAAATCCCTGGGGCATTCCAAAAAACTGTTACTATGACTTTTTCTCTTAAGTGATCTGCGTTGGTTTTGACTGGGACACTTCTGCATCTTATATCTCGGTAGCATTGCTTTGATTGTGCTTTGTCTTCAGGATTGTACTAGTAGAGCTATGCTTCATCTCCCATTACAATTCTTTGAAGAAATGCTTCAGGATCTTAATCCCACCCATTTAACATCTTCATTGAAAGCTCTGCTATTGTCTGCAGCTGATCTGGGCACAATGGTTTTGGCACCCATTGAATGGAAAGTTTGTTTAATTTTTCAGTCACAACAGCATAGGTTAAGCCAATCAGGGTGTCTATGGTGTTGGCTATTGTTTCGTCTGTTAAATGTTGGTCCTCCCTAATTAGTGTACACATAAGATAAACTTCTTCCTTGAAAATTGATGTAAATGGTTTGCCACTGTGGGCTCTATCTTCAATATCATCTTATTTCTTTGCTTTAATTTTAGTGGAATTTTTGTTGCTCTGACAGGGGCTCTTTTCAAACTGATGTCTTATCCTTCTTAGTGCTTCAAGCTAGATCCTGTTCAGATATATTATTTTGACAAGTTATTATGAGTTCATTTTGGTGCAAAAAACTTTTGAAATCCATGCATAGTTTTTCATAATATGCATGTCAATGAACTTTTGAAGACCCTTTGTAGTAGAATCACCTTCTTCTTATGTACCCATCCCTACTTAAGCAATAATTATATCATAACCCAAATTGTTACATGTGTACTCTTATTTCTGGATTATTTTGAAATAGTCATTATATCATTTCATCTGTAAATTTCTTTTTTTTTTTGAGTTGGAGTCTTACTCCATTCCCTAGGCTGGAGTGCAGTGACATGCTCATGGCCACCCCAGCGTCTACCCGCTGGACTCCGGTGATCCTTCAGCCTCAGCTTTCCAAGTAGCTGGACTAAGGCATGTGCTACCACACCCGGCTAATTTTTTGATTTATTGTAGAGGCGAGGTCTCACCAAGTTGCCTAGACTGGTCTTGAACCCATAGGCTCAGGCAATCCACCTGCCTCGGCCTCCCAAAGGGCTAGGATTACAGGCTGAGCCACTGAGTCTGACCTATGAAAATATTTTATAATATTCATATTTTATAAAATATTTTTATAATAAACTTTGCTAGGATACCATTATACCACTTCCAACTTCTTGATATGAATAAATATTGCATTTGTTAAAATATGATTGTATCATATTTTTATAGCTGATTCATTCAAATTGAGGTGAAAATAAGGTGTATGAATTGCAATTGGTATTGATACGTCACAGAAATCTCTCTTTTAATCATAGGTTTGCTCTCTTTCTCACTTTCTTCTCTGCTTCTCTTCCTCTTCTCCCCCTGTCTTCTTCTTTCCTTCCTACTCCCCCACCTTTCTGTATTGCTCTTGCTTCATTCTAGCTTTTTATCTCCCTCAATTTACTCATGAAAGAATTTAAGCCACTTGTCTCATACAGTTTTACTCATCAGGTTTTGCTGGTTGATTCTTGGGGTACAGCCTCACATATTCCTTTTGTACTTACTGTAAATTGAAGAGTAAGGCTAAAAATTGATCACCTTTGTTGAATGTTATGTGAATTCATGAGTTTTAACAAATATGTCATTTTTCCATCCAGTGTAGTTACTCTTCTCTTTGAAGTTCAAGTTGCTTCCATTTTGGCCAGCAGGAATCACCTCAAGTAAGCTCCTAGGATATTTGACATGTTCATTGTCTTTATCCTTTTTGCTTTCTAGAGTGTAAACTTCTAGGCTCATTTTGTAGCTTTCTCACTGAGAAATAAAATCAGCCCTTTTTCTAAGGAATCTTGATTTTTCTCAATAGTAAATGGCACTCAGAGACTCCAATTTGAGCACAAGATATTTTAACCATTTTAGAACACTAATAAAAAAGAAGAAAGTTATTGTATTAGTATGGCAACTGATGGGATTTGGAGGTATTTCAGAAGGTGCAGGAGAAAAATAACCAGTCTGAAAAATATAGTAATTTGCATGTCATTTTTGGTTCATGTATTCTGACATCTTTTGGTCTTGGAAAATTACAGGTGGAATGTCACCCCTACCTCAATCAGAGCAAACTCCTGGCATTTTGCAAGTCCAAGGACATTGTTCTAGTTGCCTACAGCGCCCTGGCATCCAGTAGAGACCCAAAATGGTAATAAGAACATAAAGAGTTAACTTACACCAGCAGCTCTATTAAGGATGAAACACTCTTTGTAAAACTATGTCTTGGTATGTTATTATGAAAAAGTTCAAACATAAATAAGTGCACACTCATTCCCATGTAACACCGTCAAGCTGCAATGTCATCAATATTCTTTTCCTCTTGTTTCATCTATACATCTGCCTGCTTTCAACCTCATCAAGAATATAATTTTTAAAGTATTTTTAAGAAAAAATTTGCATAGGCTGTAAGGTATATATTTTAGCTGTACAGTTTTGACAGATAGATGTACTGTCTCTGACACACATCCCTAACATGTCATAGAAAGTTTCTGTCTCCTCCAAAAGTTCTTTTGTGTTCCCTCTGAATTTTTTCTTTACTTCTAGGCAATTACTTTTCTTATTTCAAAAAAAAAAAACTTAGATTAGTTCATCTGCTTCAGTTCTTCATATTTAAAAAATCATATATATTCTTTTGTATCAAACTTCATTTGCTCAGCGTGTCTGTGAGATTTATTCACAGAGCTGTGTCTTTTCTTTCTATTTTATTCTGTCACAAGTTGCTGATCCACTCACCTATTCATGGACACTTTTGTTTTTTCCAATTTGCTGCAATTATGAATAAATCTCTATGAATATGTTTGAGTTTTTTTGGGGAAATATACTATGTTTGTTTTTTCTTTGCTCCATTTGGGAAAAGGGGGCATCACACTCTGGATTTCCTGTGTGTGGCCCTTCATATCTGTGTCTGTTTTTTTTTCCTCAGGACAGACCCAAATAGCCCATATCTCTTGGAGGAACCAGTCTTGAAAGCCATCGCCAAGAAACACGGTCGAAGCCCAGGGCAGGTGGCTCTGCGCTTTCAGCTGCAGCGGGGCGTAGCGGTCCTGGCCAAGAGCTTCACTGAGAAGAGAATCAAAGAGAACTTCCAGGTACAGATTGGCCAACGTCTCTCCAGAGTGGCAGTTTCTCTTGCGTGGGAGTAGGCACCATGTCTCTCACACCTTCCCATGCTTCTCTCCCCTGTGTGCTAAGAGAGAAGCCGCTTGGGAGTGCGGGGAGAGGTAGCACTGACCTCAAAGTCCTCAGGTTTATCACCTCTAGGCCTGGCTTTGCCACTTACTAGCTGTGTGACAGTAAGCAAATTTCAACTTTATTATTTTCATCAGTTTTAGGAGTTCTTCTACAAGATAAAGAACTCTAAGAATGCTGGTTCCTGTTCTTCACCTTCTCTACCTGACAGTCCCTCATTTGTAATTTAAGATTGGGCTCAAATAAGATGAACTACTTTGTTAAACCACTGGGACACCGCAACAAATATTTTTGACCATGACAGTACATGGCATGGCTCTGTGAATGATTATTTCCTTGTTTTTTTTGTTTTTTTTTTGAGTTGGAGTCTCACTCTGTCGCCCAGACTGAAGTGCAGTGGCACGCTCCTGGCCACTGCAGCCTCGACCTGCTGGGCTCCGGCGATCCTTCCGCCTCAGCCTTCCAAGCAGCCAGAACTAGCGTGTGCTACCACGCCCAGCTAATTTTTGATTTATTGTAGAGACGGGGTCTCGCCAAGTTGCCCAGGTGGGTCTTGAATCCGCAGGATCAGAAAATCCACTCGCCTCGACCTCCCTAAGTGCTGGGATTACAGGCTGAGCCATTGATCCTGGCCTATTTCCTTGTTAATTTAACATTGTTTGCTTATTGCTAGTGTACTCTCCGGACTGTGAAACCCTCTATGAAGCAATTTCTTTCTGGGTCACTTTTCATCACCTTTTCCCCAAGAGAGTTCTTGAGAACTAGGAAGCTAGATGTAAATTTATAGGTTCACCAAATGAACAAATCAATGAGTAAATTTGTTTTTTAAACCATTTCCCTTATACACTATGGTCTTTTAGATCAATCAGTGATCTTCAACTTACTTTGTTTTGAATTCCAAAAGAATTTTACAAATATATAAGCTGATACCCATTTTAAGATGACAGCTAGAAATTTTATCATGGGTTTAATATCTACAAAATATGATATTTGAAGCACGCTATTTATAATATATTTATTATATTTAGCCAGTGCTTTGCAGAGACTTGGATCAGGACAGAGATCAAGTGGTGATTGACCCTTCTTATTTCGAATGCTAAGGTCAGCGCCATTGGCTGCCATTTTATTTACTTTAAAACATTGTGGTTATAGATTAAGTTTATTAATTTACAGAAAAATCAAATAGACAAATCTAAATTTCATTAAAAATTTCCAATTTTATTTGGACAGATAGATAGATAATGGATCTCTGAGGGATATACATTAGATAGACAGCTATATAAATAAAGTTCTGAGTTTTTCATGAAATTGACTTTTGCGTGAAATAATGAACTTAATATTTGTTTTTTAGCCAATGATTTCAGTGATCTCTCTGCTTTGCTCTTAAGGAGGTCACCATCAGGGGCTACATGTTGCAAAATAAAAACAAATCTGGAGTTAAGTAAGAGATATTTTTTCAAAAGGCCAAGCTCTTTGAACATAAATTCTGTGTGCTTCAGAGATCAATCAGACGGTGTTTTCATTAGGAAAGAATAAACACAGCTGAAAATAGATGGTGTCGGGGACCTGAGATGGGAAGTGGTGTGGTGAAACAGCTGACCAGGAAGTGCTTCAGCCCAACAGAACTTGGAGAGGGGTTGTCTTGTCTTTAAGCTTGTTCAGTCCAAAGCTGGGTCAAGATTCAGGGAATGGGAGGAAGGAAAAGTCCGAGAGAGTCAGGGCACGTGTAGGCGATGAGTATTTTGTCCAGGTTGTTCTTTTGCGTGGAAATAAATGATGAGTTTTCTTCATCTCAAGCCACTCTCTAGAAGTATTTTAGACCGTGAGCTGTCTTTCTTTCTTTTTTTTTTTTTTTTGAGTTGGAGTCTCACTCTGTCACCCAGACTGGAGTGCAGTGGCCGCTCCCGGCCAATGCAGCTTCGACCTGCTGGGCTCCGGCGATCCTTCTGTCTCAGCCTTCTACGTAGCCGGAATTACAGGCATGTGCTACCATGCCCGGCTGATTTTTTGATTGATTGTAGAGATGAGGTCTCGCTGCCCAGGCGGGTCTCGAACCCGCGGACTCAGGCAATCCACTCACCTCAGCCTCCCAAAGGCGCGGGATGACAGGCTGAGCCACCGAGCCCGGCTAGTGAGCTGTCTTTCCTTGGCGAAGTGGAGCCGGCCAGGAGTGGGCTGGATGGGTTGTGGTGAGATGCTGAAGGGCAGAGCTCGGGCAGAAGAGGTCTCAGGCCACGTTGCTCCCGGAAGCCGATGAGGAGCAAATGCTTCCCTGAAGCCGACCTGGCCTCTGCCCCTGGGAGGTTCCTGCATTCCCAGGTGGGAAAGGCTGTTGACCTGAGAAATTCAGTAGGATTATTTTTCCTTTCAGGTTTTTGACTTTGAATTGACTCCAGAAGACATGAAAGCCATTGAAGGCCTCAACAGAAATTTCCGATATACTAAATTCGAATTGTAAGTGACTCTTAGAGATTGTTTCACAGGTTGTTTTCTGTAGCATGCAGGCAGACAGAGATACAGAGATCCCTAAATCAGGAAGATAAGCCTGATTTTAAGCTTATACCTGAAATAGGAGCTTCCCTATAGCCCTCAGACCAGAGGTTTCCTCCAGGACTCAGTCTCTGACCCAAAAGAAATGCAAGTCCATATGCCAAGCTGCTGAAATTTCCACCATGGTGAATCCACTTCGTGGATGCCCTTACCACCTGTGCCTGGTTCCTGCACTCAGGGCTTTCTAATCCATTAGACTAGAAGGCACGAAGCCTAATGCCCATGATCATTTTAGGGGCCCATGATAATGTTCTGTCTTTCATTTATGTAAAAATCAGAAGGAAAAATGAATACAATATTAATGAATATGCAATAATGAATTCAGCCTGTCCATCTCCATGTCCATACCAAGGCAACATAAGACATTATTTTGACGTTTTTCATGGTTGGACCCATGAAAGCAGAAATGCACAGGTCCTGGGGAGTCACAGTGGGCTCCCCTTCCACCTCCTCCCCTAAGTGTCCTGTGACATTTCTCCTTAATGTGACACTCCTTTTTCAGGACATCATCTACAGCTTCCAAATTAATCTGTCCATTGGCTTCCTTTACTTATTACAACTCTTATATCTTAGCCATATACTCTCACCAAGCTGAATTTTAAATAAATTATGAAATTAATGGACCTCAAGGGTTAATGCTGTGTCTCCAGTCACATGTACCAAGATGAGACTCTCTGGAGTTTCTCTGGCTCTTTGAGTCAAGACGATTACTCATGTGTCATCTTTGTCCATCCAAAGACTGGCCTCTGGGGAGCCCTCTGCCCCTTAACTTTGGTCTGTTCAAACCAAACATGACATTCCATCGGTTCCACATACTACAGGATCTCAGGGTTGAGGAAAAAGAAGACTAATCAGAGAGAAGATCGGAGGGGAGGTTAAACATAAAGAGAAATAAAACTGTGGTTATGAAAATAAAGAGTCTCCAAATTTGCTCTGAAAAAAAAAATTCCTCTCTTTTTGATAAAACAATGCCAGTATCCCGAGGAAAGATGTTTTAAATGAGGAAAATGTGGGCAGGAACTTTCCTGTTCCCAAAGGCGTTTTCGTGTCAGTCCATGATCTGCCTCGCGAGACTGAATGCCTCTCCTTACTCATGGCGATGGTCCTATGTTGACTCGGCTTCTAGCACACTAAGTTGCTGGTGATATACGCTTTGGTGACATTCAGTTGAAAAGGACAAATCATTATAAGAAAAAGAAAACATAAAAGAAGCAAAACAAAGAATAATAGTAATGATTGAATTATAACTATTCCTACACATTATAAAGTAAAAAGCGGTAACTATGTTTCATAGGTCTGGTTATCAGAGATTCCTGTCTCCTTCTCTATAGATGGGAAATTCCTCATTAAAGGGACTTTGCATCCCTGAGGGTGCTCAGTACATACGTGCTGAATCATTGGGTAGGAAAAAACAACACAATCCAATCCATCCTGCCACCATGCTCTTGACCTAAGGAGAAAGACTGTCCCCCGGGGCTGAACTGACCATAGAGTTACACCCTCCATAGAATTCGTAATCGAAATCAAATTGTGGATCACGTGGGTGTTTACATGCATATCAATGTGAACATTGGGCATGCATGTACAGCTTGTACATGAGCAGGTAGCTGGTGTGTATGTGTAGGGACATGGTTATAAAGGTAAGGTTTCAAGTCCGTCTTAACTGCATCTTCAGAGAAGCCCACTCTTTGACACCGTGGATAAGGAGTTAATAACTTTTCTTTCTCTTTCAGTGCCATTGACCATCCTTATTATCCATTTTCTGAAGAATACTGACCATGAACTGTTGGACAGTACCACCAGAATTCCTTCCTTTTAGGGGACATGGAGAGAATTTGTGTATTTGGTAAAGCTTAGGAAGCAGTGCCTGGAATTTTAGGTTGCTTTCCTTTCAGTTTTTGATTTTATAAAATAAAAGACTGCAACATAAGAATGTTCGTTTTTCTGATGATTAAATAACAATTTAATTTAAAAACTACAGGGAAAGAATAGAGAAAAAAATCATCAGTAATATGCACTTTCAAAAATGCTTAATGTTTGGTGCATTTTCCTTCATGATTTTCCTATACAAATTTGTGGGGTTTTTTTGAGTGTGTTTCCATTTTCAAACTTGATATCATCTTCAACATGTAGATTATAATCTTTTTTTAAAAGAAGTTTTCAAAATAAAAAATGTCATTCAAACATTTCAAAATTATATTTTATTTGTAAAGCAGTACATTTTATTAATTGATTTAGTTTCTTAATCGTCTCCTCATGTTTTGACATTTTTGTCAGTTTTTTTTTATAGAGTGCCATTTATTTATTTATCTTTTCAGCAAAATGTTGCTGGATATCCATTGTGTGCCAGATATTGCTTCATCAATAAATATGCAAAAGTTTGGTGAAATGAAAACTAAAAGTTCTTGCGTTTGTAGTCTACTGGAGGAAACAGATCATGAATTATATAAACACTGTAAGAAGTGTGTAGTTATGCCTGGGAAATTTCTGATGAATCATTCTGCATTTCTGCACATTTGAAAAGCAGGAGCCTTGTCTGCCCTGAAGATTTTTCTCTAGTAACTCAACCCAGCTTGTGCAAGTAGTACCTGGCCCCTTCACTACACACTCCGAAAATTGGTGCTCAAGGAACCAGCACAAAAATGCTACTATAAGCCCAGCACGGTGGTGTATGCTTGGAGTCCCAGCTACTGGGAAGGCTCAGGCAGAAGGATTGCTTTCGTCCAGAGTTTCAGGCAGCAGTGTGATATGATTGTGCCTGCGAATAGCCACTCTACCCCATATCTAAAAAAAAATTATGTTACTTTGGCTACAGATATTGTCTTAAGCAGTAAATTGTTCTTTTCTCTGATGCAGAGGAATCATTACTTCTACTGGCATCTATGAAACATGGCCAGCTAATTTGTTGGTGTGCAAGTCAGGTTAAAATCCAAGATTTTTCATGGGTCTTGACAATAATTTCGAGGAAAATACAGCAGGAAGGGAGATGTGGGAGATTTAGGTGGTATTTTATATAGAATGTTGAGAAGAGTTTTCACTGAAAGAGTGCCTTTTGAGCAAAATTTGTATGAGCTATGGGATACAAGGAGGAAGAAGAGTATTTCTGGCACATGAAAGAGAAAATATTAAGGCCGTGAAAAAAGATTGTTCCTGCAATATTTAACAACAGCAATTAGTCCCACGTGGGCAGAGTTTTGTGACAAGGGAGATGGAAGCAGAAGACAAGATCTGGAGCAGATAAGGGGATGGGGTGGGGGTCCTGTTATGTAGTCTTTTGAAAGAACGTTCACTTTTTTCCCAAGTAAAATGGAGAATGATGGCAAGTTCTGAGCAAAATAGCTACATGAACTGAAAGGATAGCTGAGCATTCTGATGAGAAGGCCCTATTGGAAAAAAGAAGGGTAGATGGGTCCTTTGCTTTATACAATTATTCAAATGAGAGATGATGCTGCCTTGGACAAACACATGAGCAGTAAAGTGGTCAACATCCCTGGGAAAATGAATATATTTTAAAGACAGAGTCATCAAGTCTTCTTAACATATTGGCTGGATAGAGAGAGAGAAAAAAGTTGACTCCATAAAGTTGGGGTGAAGCAACCGGAAGAAAGGAGTTGCCATTGGCCGAAATGAAGAAGAGTGGAGAGGAACAGGTGTCTGTGGAAAAATCATGAGTTCAGTGTTAGACATGGTATGTTTGAGATTCGTATGACATACCCAAGTGGAGATGTCATGTCCACAGTTGGGCATATAAAGCCAGGGTTAGAGGAAGCAGAGGGCCAAAGAAACATGTTTGAGATTTGTCAACAAATTCTTGCCACTTGAAGCCAGATGACCAGAGATCATATCTGCTGAGTGAGGGAGTGTGGGCAGAGAAGTCATGAGAAATGAGGCATTTCATCATTAAGATTTGGGATAACAGAGGAAGAAACAGGCAAAGAGGCTGAGGAGGGACTAGGAAGGTACGCGGAAAAGTGGAAGAGGGTCTGTCCTGGAAGCCAGTTGGAGAAACATTTTAAAGGAGAGAAAAAAAAAAAAAAAATCAAAGGCTACCTAATTGGACAAGTAAGATGAGGACTTAACGTTGATCCTTGGTGTTGGAAATTGACCTTCACAACACCCATAACAGTTGTGATAGCATGGTAGAAGCAAAAGGCTGAATAGGGTGTGTCCAAAAAGCTGTGGGAAGAGGGGAATTAGATTAAAACGTGAATTGGCCATGAAGGGGACCAGGCAACGGAGCAGTCACTGAAGAAGAAAATGGAGTTGAATGAGAAGCTTTTTGTAGGTTATGACAGAAACAACAGTGAGCCTGTGTACTCTTAGGAGTGATCTGTCAGAGAGAGGAACATCAGTGATGCAGGGGAGAGAGGCTGAGAACCGATAAAATAATGCCTGAATTAGTTTCTTGTTCCCACTGTAACAAATGACCACAAATATTGTGGCTCAAAACAACACACATTTATTTTCTTACTGGTCTGGAGATCAGAAGTCCAAAGTCAGGTTCAATGGGGTCCAGTCAGTGAGTCTGCAGGCCTGCATTTCTTCCTGAGGGTCTAGGGGAACATCCATTTCCTCCCGTTTCCAGCTTCTAGAGGATGCATCCCTTGGCTCATGATTTCCTTTCCATCCTCAAATCCAGCTGGGTAGTCTCTTTAGGTTTATGGCCTATATTCTATCCTCACATCTTTTTAAAATTTAATTACTGTGACCCTCCCGGGTCCCACATTTATTAGGACTTTGTGATGACATTAGCCTATCCAGATCATCCAGGGAGATGTTTCCATTTGGGGATCCTTAAGTCAGTCATATTTTCAAAATTCTTTTGATGTGTAACATGACATAGTCACAAGTTCCGGGGACTAGGGCATGGATGTCTTTGGGGGTCATTATTGAACCGACTTTACCAGCTTTGTGGTGAATTTGGAGCAACTAAGTCTAAGTTTCCCAATCTTTCTGGTAGAAATAACTGTATTTCTAGCTATTAGATGCTGAAAGTCTTGACTTTTTCATCTCTGATATCAAGTGGAAAACCACACGTATAAAGACCCATTTCTTTTTTAGGCTGATATCATTTTGACCTTGTTATGTTTCTTCCTTCTGAATACATTCCCTTCATTCTTTTTGTTTACAATTTGTCCCCAGAATCTGTTGACATCATCTTTCATTGTTCATGCAGAGACTCAAGCATTTTTTCCAACCTTTTTCTTTTTTTAGAAAGCAGGATTTACTGAGAGGACACAGAAAAGCTTCCAGAGTGGGAGGGGACCTGAGGGAGCTGCCCACTCCTAAGAGTTTCTATTCATGCCTGGACTATACTTTAGCCAGTTACTCCTTTGCTTACTACTTATAACTGCTTCATCCATGAAAGCTTCCTTTTACCACATTTCATACTAATCAAGTCTCTTCCTCTTTGGTTTCTCCTGCATTTCCATTCACCAAATTCCTAATTCATCAAGAGTCATATTCATCGGTTCTCTCTTATTTCCTCTTTTCATTCTTTCAATGTCCATGCACGTTTACAAGTTCCAATTAGGTTAGATAATGCAATCAATTGAAATGTATCAGACTTCCCTCATTCTCTTTACATAGGCAAGTTTGGAAATATCTCATTTAGAGAAAGCTATCACTTTCTCACTAAGATTTTGGTGCTCAAGATGGTGACCTCTCCAACATCAGTTTTACTTCTAATCATGTCTTTAGGACACTCACATTAGCATCGCTGCTTGGGCATGTGATCACTGTGATGAGAGTGCAGTGACAGTCATAGAAAATGCCACATGGTAGGGACTGTGCTAGGGGTTTCTAGGAAAGTTTAAGAAGGAGATTTTTAAGAAGGAGATTTTTATTTTTATTTTTTTAATTTTAAATATGTGGAGTACAATTTAGGGTTAGGTATACAAATGTTCATTATGCAGGCACCCTTGTTGATGAGGTGTGACTTCCATCCCCATGTGCCCATACCATAAGAGACAAGTTAGACAAGTGGGACCTCATCAAACTGACAAGCTTCTGCAAAGCCAAAGAAGCCATCAAGAGAGCGAGGACAGAGCCCACAGACTGGGAAAAAAAGAAGGAGATGTTTAAAAGAGGTCCTGTTGCACTACAAGTTCTGAATTGCGGTGGTAGTTTCTCCCAGCCCGAGGATGATGCCAATACACAGATGAGAGAGGAACCAAATGATGGGGGAGGTTCTGGATTCTCATAAAAGGCACCCAGAGCTTGCTTCTCCTCTGTACTAGGAGGGTACCAGATTTCTGTAGGTCGTAAACCCATTTGAGATAGTTTTTGTTTTGACCTGGTTGTATCCTGACTGAAACCCCATCAAGTTTATAATTATCTTTTTACAATATCTCCTGTATTTTGCACCAATCCAGGAGTGGTCAGAATATGTGAAAACTGATGTCACCCCCAAGAGCATGAGCCTGGGTAGATTTTAGGGGTTAGTCATAATATTGAGATTAAAATGACAAATATTCGGTGGGCTGCCTCCCCACTCTCTTGCCAAAAGGAAAAAAAAAACCAGTCCTATTAAAAAGTGGGCAAAAGATATGAATAAACTCTTCTCAAAAGAAGACATACAAGCAGCCAACAGACGCAGGAAAAATGCTCATGCTCACTAATCATCAAAGAAACACAAATCAAAACCACACTGAGGTACCACCGAACTCCAGTCAGGATGACCATCATTTGAAAGAACTAGAAATTGACCTTCCATATGATTCAGCAATTCTCCTATTGGAAATATACCCAGAGGAACTCAAATCATTCTACAAAAA